AAAAAAAAGAATCACCTTGAAAGAGGAGACCTCACATTGGCTGGCGTCACTCCTTCAAGAAAGGGGAAAAGGGAGAAAACCATCCACTTGATGCTATACAACGTTAAGACAAGGCTGTGATAAATCAACAGCCCCTCCAAAAGAGTGATAGAACCTTACTGGAAAATCTCGTTAAGACCAGAAGAAGGGAGTAATTACATTTTAGGGGAGGCACTGTTGGTGGGAATGGTGGGTAAACGGGAAGGAGCAGCCTTACATCAGAAAGGGATGCTAAACAACAATTGTAGGGAATGTAAGGGAGGAATAACCATGCCATGGCCTAAGCACTAGGATGACCTTAGGTACTAGCCTTACAGGCAACATAGCAGTCACACCAGAATCAGTTAATGTGGAAACCCAGTAAATGAACTGGAACCTACCTCAAAATTACCTGTACCCTTGTATTTAGGATAAAAGATCAAATATTCTGATTGGAAAGGAAGCAAAGGATGGCCACTCCAAGACTGTGTAAATGGAATTCATTGAACATTGAGTGGGAACTCTGTCTTTGTGAGTGTCCAATGAAAGAAGATCCAGAACCACCATATATTTAGTACCTCAATGCTTCCCTTGAATTAATATGACAGGTTTTAATCTCATAGGCAAGGATCTGAACTTGTAAGAAATAATATAGGAAATTTTTCCCTAGCACCAACCCCCACATTCCATGTAAGTAGTGCTTAAACAATTCAAAATCAACTACTCGTGTATTGCAGCTCACAGTTGGCCAATATTCACATAAAGTCCTCATATCAGTATCTTAAATTCTATGTCATTGGAAAAATTATTAATGTTATCAAAGCAATCGCCTTATAAGCCAGGGTGATGATTGACTATGTTTTCCTTTTTTGTTTCTTTGGCTTTTTGTTTTTCTACCTTTTGTGAGTTTTTGTTTTTGTCATAGTGTGACCGCCAAAGTAAACCAGAGTTGTTCATAATCCATGAACAAGCAGATGACTCTGGGCTTCCACTGAATTCTACCCCCAATGCAAGAAAAATTAATTCTTATAACATGGCCCTGCTTGATACTAGCCTTCACAAAGAGATCCCTTAAGATAAGGGTGCTAAAGCCATGTCTCATAAAGAAAGCAGATCGTACACAGTTATCAATTGGAGTAATGTCTGGGGTCTTGAAAGTTTATATTCAAACAAGCAGCTATCTTCGTGTGATAGTCAAGGTTTATTATGCCAACCTGGCCAATAAACACATGTGGGATTAATTGAAGGGCGGAGAAATAAATGGCTTGGTAAGCCTCGCCTTTCTAGTTTTCTTATCTCTTGCGCTCTGATGGCCGGACCCATATGCGGCTGCCTTAGCTAGTTCTCTGCCTCAGCTGGTAAGGCTATCTTCCTGTGAGACATCCCTGAGCAGAAGCCACATGGACTTACCCTGATGCAGCCCTGGGTGCTGGAGAAGCCGCGTGGAGACCCCTGCCAGCGCTGAGATTCTTACACCACCACTGGATTCAAAGACTTTCTACTCACTGGCCTATGATCCTCCTGCATTCGCTGTCATTGTATGTGTTTTGTGAGTTTAAGGAGGACTTTGTAGACCGGTTTCGGACATATGGGCTCAGACTTATGGGCTTGGATTGGACAAAGTTGGGATGCTTTATTAATGTACACTTAACCTTTATATAAAGCTCTGCTTATACGTATATGAGTTTCTGTGGATTTGTTTCTCTAGTCTACCTAGACTAACACACTTAGTGGGACATCAACTAAGTTCACATCAAAGAAGCATACCAGCCTGTGAATCCAAACATAATGGTAATAAAATTCAAATATGATGTAGTTAAATGTATCATAGCTTAAATTTTGAACACCCAATTTTTAGAAGGCTGTGGAGGACAGTGAGATCTCCAAAGCCATCTTCAGAATATCTAGTCACATTAAACCTTTTGCATATCCCCTCTAGTCACAGGTGAGGGACTTGAACAGCTTAACTATCAGAGAGACTATTGTAAACTTAATTATGGTGGATT